ACATTCGACGCATGATCTTCTCGACTCATTTATAGCGTTGGGTAAATAGGACTAGTCATATTCCTAAAATCATTCTTCCCTCTCAACATCCCTTACACAGCGGAGGCGAAATTTCACGAGCGGGTAGATATTTTGTGTTATTGAGAAGGCATCTGCCTTCACAGTTTGCATGACAAAAATATAAAACACAATAAAAAACACTTCGGCGGCTTGGGTGGGCTTCAGTGGGCTGTATTCGCCACTGCAATGGGCAATATGATCTTCAGTGGGCGTGAATGAATGGGTGATAAATGCAGGCACTGTATCTGTGCATGCGGTGATGCAAGGTTTGGCACGATCTTCGCTACAGTTTCGACCACAGCGAGCCGTATTCGGCAGTTTTTCCATGCCTTCCAGTTTTCCAATCCAGGAATTCCGTCGGCATTCCTGGATTGCCCGACGATTACTGGTGTAACCATGTGTCGCGCAAAGTCTTGTTGGTCACATAAATGCGGATGGTACGTTGGTGGACGCTTCGTAATTGAATTCGCGCCTCCACTCGGTCTGGCGGCCGAGTTATGTCACAAATCGTGAAATGTTTTTTTATCGACAAATTTACGCTGATCGCCTCCGTGCACCTAGCATGCGGCATATCTATTCGCCCACGTCACACTGTGCAATTCCCCGCTTAATTGCCGATCACCGATGCCTGGTTACCGAGATGAGACGTGGCCATGGTTTCGAACGACTGCTCGTTCGTTTGACCGTGGTCCACATTTTGGGCCGCCGTGTTAAACCAGTGGCCCTGAAACGACCCTTCCAGCACGTGCTACCTCTGAACGTCGGACCGCAGCAGGTCGCGAGCTGTCTGTGAAAAACCGCCTCGTGCGCCGGCGCGTCGAGTCCAAAGATTACCATTCATCACCGTTCGACAACGGTACGACGCAATGTATCAGCACAAACACGCTGTTCGTTCACGGGCGAGACGCCACGCAAAATGGGTCAAACGCACGGATAGATAGACGCACACAAAGGAACTAGTATATTGGCAAGATCCGTTGTCTCGGCCGAATTTATGACTGATGAGATCGACTTTAAGTTTGAATTCGCGAAGAATGTGGCATGTGCCACGGTTTATTCCGATCAACGCTTTGATTATGACTTCATATCTATCTGATCATGGATGTAGCTGCCCACTGACTTTACCCACTCTGCAATTGCGACTCAATTATCTCGAGTCTGTGCGAGGAAGACGGAGAGGCAATGTAGCAACTCCTCTGTCGTCACCCCATCCCTTGGTACTTCTACGGTTCTGCTGACTCCTTTTGATAGTCTGCGATGCACTGCCGAACATTTCTTTGCTGTAGCGCAGTGCCCCACGGCCTGCTCCCATTACCACCGATAATAACATTCCGTCCACGCAATTCGCGTACGCACATTTTGCTGCAGCAAACTCCATCCTCCACGCCACTGCAAACTCCACTGCAGCCACCTCATTTGAACTCTATGGAGTTCCAACCTGCGGGCACACACATACTCCTAAACAATTGGCATTTTCTCGTGGAGCAAACCTCACTAACGGTGGCAAGTCAACGCAGATGTCATGATTTTTGGAGCGGCGCCAAACTACGGCTTACTTTGACACGCCCTGAGAAGCAGTTGATCTTTGTAGCGTACATTTCCAATCATATCTGCATTTGCTTTTTGTGTCTGAGGGAACTCGGGAGGTGTTATCCCGTCATCGAATCATTTACAGCGGGTCTCACGACATACGCATGAGCGCAGTGATTGGTGCGGGCTTCCAAACGGTAATAGGGCTTAAGCTCTACGGCCCAGTCTGCTGTGACAAAAACGGACTCGTTTGCTCGCCACCTGCCGACGCATCACTGCCGTCATCATCGTCGTTATCGTCACTGCTGCAGAGCCTTGCATCGGTTAACTGCAGAGTAAACAAAACGGTCTGACGTTCCATGGTGCAGCGTGCGAGTACGTCCCGTCAGGCGTAAGCCACGGTCCGTGCCCAGTTCTCCGTTGGTCGTCACAGAGCCGTCTGAAGCATACGGGGGATTCTTAACTCACAGTGATGCCACCGCTAAAATAGCTTTAATCGTTCACTATGAATACAACGTCATTGCTCGCGGCGCACAGCCTTGCACCCAAAAATGCTATCCATTTTTACCCTCTCGGCGCGACTGGGATATGCGCTGATGAGAGAGTTTCGTTGCTCGTCTCCCGCCCGTTTACGTCAGTTACGGGACACTACGCTCCTACAGGATTAAGTAGATTAAAGCAATCCTATTGCTATTTTGCAATGGCGCCACATCCACGGCTAATTTCGATGCGACCTGATTTGGTTCAATAGTGATTCAGTCGTCAAACCTAATCGTATCATGATTGCATATCTGCCAGTTTGCCTGTTTAGTCAGCTTCACCGTCTAATCGTATTGTTTATTAGCGTTGTCTAATTTGGAATAGAACGACTGCAAGTTACTCAACCCATATCTTACGTAATTGGGATCTGCGCTGACTAGCATGCGAATCCCTGCACCATTGCATCCACTCTATTGAATACACTGTCGGAAGCATGCCACCTCCGGCTACTTCGACCCGTGGCCGCCGAGATATCGACCGGGATGGCGAGGAAAGAGACCGCCTAGTATAATCGACCACCACCTTGGCCCACGGGGTGTGATATGACTTCGCGCCGGCGGGCCTCCAGACGCAACGCGCACCGTCAGTCATTTTATTTAAAGAAAACAACTGCCTGAACACCCGGGGGATCGGAAAATACCTTTTAATCACCACGTAACAAGGCATAGTGCAACCATTACTCTCACTTCATATGCGAGCAAAATATTGCAAAAAAGCATCAACAAAAGGGTAGGTCCTTACCAACGAAGGTAAGGAGGGGAAATGAATCGGCCAGAACGCTGGTGTCATTTATAATGCCATCATGTCTACAGCGTGGACGGCAGCGTCTTGTATTCGGTGATGTTTTTCCAGATTCTAACAGCCATGAATTTCCCGACGGTTCGCGGTGCAACCGTGCCCTGCGCAAGCTCGTGACGTGCAGTGAAATCATAGCCTGTACATCTGCCAATGTTTTGAAACTTCCTTTACGCCTCTACCCGCACTGGGTACCGAGGTAAGACCAAAAAGGTAAAAATCGTCAAAGATGGCAGATTTCACTTTTTCAACTCATGTGTATGTGTCACGTCCCGCATCGCGCCACAAATTCCGATTTTCCATTAAATTCTCTGTCCATCTGTGCAAGTTTCATATCGCTCCGACCTCTCGTCGCCAAGCTGTGGCCACGGCTTCGAGCGGTTGTTCCGTCACTTCCCCCGTCCACATTTCCAGGCGTTCTCCATGCAAATTCA